GTCTTTTTGATACAGGGTCTCCCTGTAGCCCCAGATGACCTGGAACTCACTCTGAAGACGAGGCTGTCCTTGAACTCACAGAGATCCACCTGCCTCTGCCTCCCGAGTACTGGGATTAAAGGTATGCACCACTATGCCAGGCTTGACTATTTATTTATAAACAATGATTATTACAAAGAACAGTTTAGAGACCACTACGAATACTCTCAAGATACTGTGATCTGAGCTTTTTAGATACTCTAAGATTCACCATGTTAAGACTTTTTTAGAAAAAACAGAAGTGATAGGGGCTATAGAGATGGCTCAGCAGTAAATAACACAGGCTGAAGATCCAGGTTCAATTCCTAGCACTCACATAGCAGCTAACAACTGTCTGTAACTCCAGTTCCAGGGGATCTGACACCTTCTTTTGTCTTCCAAGGGGATTGCACAACACAGGTGCACTTATATACATGCAGGCAATACACATATAAAATAAAAAATAAAATTTAAAAACCAGAAGTGATAAACGTAATTAAAAGGGGGAGGCAGTGAAATGGCTCAGAAGGTAAAGTACTTGCCAGCAGGCCTGACTACCTGAATTTGATCCCCAGGACCCAAGTTGTCCACTGATCTCCCCACATGCACCCCCCCACACACACACACAAATGTAATTAAAATCGAAAGCTTTCAACTGTATTAACATGAGACTGCATGGACAATTTTTTTTTTTTTTTTGCTCAGGGTTTTATCTAGCTTTAAACTCAGGAATGCAGTTAATTGTGCCAGCTAGAACTTTTGTGGAAATATTTTTGAAAAGCTGACTATATTTGACTTTAGAATTAAATTTTTTACTTGGATAATTCTATGTAACAGCTACAGGTTTCCTTTCTGGTGGCTTCTGAACTTTGTGTCTTTATTTTTGGTGCCTCGTTTAGTGTATTTCTGTCACCTTGTTGAGGCCCCAGATAGTGAATAATCATGGATCCTTCTAGTGTTTTCCTTCGCCTTGGCTAGCCATTGGTGCTCTGGGTGAGGGTATGTGCTACTTTGCGTATGAAGTGATGGTTTCTGCAGTGACAAGGGTCATACTTGTACCTTATTTTTAGTCTACCATATGTAAAAACATCATGCTGAAAGGCAGCGAGCAGCACATTTTGCAGGATCCGGTTCCTTGCAGTCTGTTCTGTCAGTTTCGCAGTATTCAGAGCTTCCCCACATCAGAAGGAAGAGCTGTTGCTTGCTGCAGATCAACTGACTTCATCTAGAGCTCATAATGAACTTAATTTTTCTCTTTAAAGGGAACCATTTTTTAAACTCATCCTAATCAGGTTGGCTTTCTTAACTGTTTTGATAATAAAAGTTGATTTGTATTCCTTTATTTGTGCCTTCTCTTTGATTCCTTTTTCACAGATGGTTTCCAAATCGCAGAGAACTAATTCATTTCCCCATTCATTCAACAAATATTCACTGAGGCACTCACTGGAGACCAAAGATAGATGGAGTTACTACACTCATAGAGATATAAGAGGATAAACATTAATCAAATGATTTATGCAAATAAAATCTTAGAATCTGTGATGAGTACCACTGTGAAGAAGGCAGGTGATGAGGGGCTAGAGAGCTGGCTCAGTGGTTAAGAGCACTGGCTGCTCTTGCAGAGGACCCAGGTTCAGTTCTCAGCACCCACTTGGCAGCTAACAACCATCTTTAACTCCAGTTCCAGGGATCCAATGCCCTCTTCTGGCCTGCAGGCATTGCACACACATGGTACATTTACATACATGCAGGCAAAACACTCATTCACATAAAATAGAAATAAAAAGGAGTAGGAGGAAGAGGAGGTGGAGGAAGAGGAGGAGGGGGAGGAGGAGGGGAGGAGGAGGAGAGGGGAGGGAGGGAGGAGGAGGAAAGTAATGCTCTGACAGTCTATAATAGAAGTTGACCTATTGGGAGAAATCAGGGAAATCCTACCTGAGAGACAATTTAACTAAATTCTGAATAGAAACTTCTTGTTAACTAGAATTCTGAATGGGTCAGGGAGAGCATTCCAGGTGGTAATAATAGTATATATGAAGGCACTGGAGCAGAAAAGCTTAGAAGTTTGCAGAACTTCAAGGGAGACATGGATGATTGTACCAGAGTATGAGGAATATGGTGCCTGACAAGCTCAGGGCAGTGTAGATCCAATAAAGAGTATGTCTTCACCCTAAAACCAAAAGACAGATAGATGGCCATGAAGGGTTTTAAGCAGAAACCTGGTAAGATCATGCTTAATTTTTAAAAGATCACTCTGGGCCTGGGGATATAGCTCATTGGTAGAGCTTGTCTTGCATGCATTAGGCTGTGGGTTCAACACTTAGTACTGAAAGAAAAAAAAATTACTGTGTAGAAAATCAGAGAGATGGTAGATATGGTTTTAATTTCCATATCAGCCTTTCCCTATACCATGAAACTTTTTCCCTCCCCTATCCTTCCTCTCAAAAAGCTGCAGAAAGAACAGCAGTAAGAGAAAAGGAGGAAAAGCTTTGATGTGTTGGAGTTGTTGAGTTTCAGGCTAGGGACAGAAGTGTGCTTCAAATGGAGAGACAAAGCGCAGTCAACAGCACCCACTGAGGCATTCCTCCCTGTGGTGGAAAGTCTAAAACTAAGATCTTCCAAGAGTGCCCAACCCATGGCCTGCATGTGCTCCAGGACAGCTCTGAATGTGGCCCAACACAAAATCATAAACTTACTTAAAACATACAATTTTTTGGTGATTTTTTTTTAGTAACTCAATTGCATGGTTCTCAAATGTGAACTCTGTAGATGACAATGTTGTGTCACAATGTCAAAGAGCAGACATGCTTAGTAGGTCCTGTCTTAACAACTGGTAAAAGGTATGACTTAGGGTGACTGAGAATGATCTACCACAGGACCTCTTGAGGCCCCGATGCAAAAGGTCTTCTAGTCAAATACCCTTCATCATTCAACAGACCAGAAGTCCTGCTCATTAACGGAATTGTCCAAATGAATCAATCTCATCCTTCTGCAGAACTGACACCTTGTCCTAATTAGCATTGTCAACTTGAGGAGTCATCTGAGAAGAAAGCCTTGATTGAGGAATTACCTAGATTAGACTGGCTTGTGGGCATGTCTGTGTGGGATTGTCTTAATTGTCAATTGAAGCAGAAGGGCTCAACTCACTGTGGGCAGCACCATCCCTAAGAGAGGTGGTCCTGGGCTGTGTAAAGGAAGCTAGCTAAGTATGATGCTGTAAGTGAGTGAGCCAGCAAGCAGCTCTCCTCCACGGTTTCTGCTCTAGATTTTGCCCTGACTTCCCTCAGTGGTGGATTGTGACTTGGAAGTA